TTTCTCTCTCTCTCTCTCTCTCTCTCTCTCTCTCTCTCCTGTCTCTTATACACATCTAGATGTGTATAAGAGACAGCTCCTATCCGACTGCTAATGGGACCTCGCCCCAGAGCATATGGGATCTTGTTAGCTGTGCAAGTACACCGCTTTTAACCTGGAAAGCCGTGGAAGCCGTCTCCCAAGGCACCTACGTTTTTTGTTCTTGTTTTCTGAACTTCTGAAATACAGAACACACCTTGACAAGGAGCCCGAATCGGGCGGAAGTGATACGAGCACTACCCGGTGGGAAAGTGTTAGATAGCCTATTTTAAAGTTTCTATCTGTCCAACAAAAAAAAAAAAAAAAAAAAAAGTTTCTATCTGAAAGGAGCAAGATAACACCAGACATTGCCAGCCCATTGAACTTTTTTTAGCCATTAGTTAGTGATCCCTAACCCACGTCTTGTATACGAATACAAACGACTTCGGCTGAGAGTCGCACCAATCTGAAATACAAAATAAAAGCAACATACCTAGGCTACCAGCCTGGTCGCCCGGGTCACCTTGTTTGCCCGGGCTGAACGGCCGTGCAAGGACGGACCATAGAAGGTCCCAGCAAGAAAAACGAAAAACAAAATCCAAAAATACTGAAAACAAGTTGTGTTATGCAGAAAATTAAACTGAACGACTCTTGCCTCTATGTCACATAAAAATTCTTTACCAAATTTAAAATTAAAACTAAAATTAAAATTAAAATTAAAAAAGATATATTATTTTATCTTTTTTTTTTCTTTTTTTTCCTTTTTTTTTTGTGTGGCCCGGCCGGGCAAGTCGTCCCAGGCCACTCTGGTAGCCTAGCAACATACTAAATTATATCATACCCCTATAAGGCTATAAGCCCCTATAAGCTCCTTTAAGAGCCCTTCTAATCCCGGCTTATATCCCATAGACACCCGTTGGTGAGACACCACCAAATTCAAAGACAAGGCCGAATCCGGGCACGCATCCCAATGGACGCAAAATCGCCCCACTGCCAACGAAAAAACGACCCCCCTTTTGGTGTCGCCCGGGTACCCAGGCGGGTCGGCCTCCGTGCAGGTTCTCCCACGTCGCCTGGCCGGGGCGGCCGGGGAAGTGCAAGTTTGTTCAACACTCTCCTATATATATATAAACCACGTATATATCGTCACACCGTGTATCGGAGCGCAAAGGGGAAAAAAACAAAACAGAAAAAGGAAAGAACGAAGAAAAGCTCCGCCTGTTCATCACCTCTTACGTACAAGGCCGGCCACGTGCGTCAAACATATTTTTATATATGAATAAATATATTTATTTATATCACTACCGTAAGGGCCATGAATTAATGTCTGGATATGCGAAGGCCAAGAGCCGTCGGGGCTGAAAGAACCTTTGCTACAGATGGAGTGAGGACAAGTACGCCTTCTCAGGTTGAGAGATGGATTGCAGACTTGATTGGACGCGCCGATTGCCCGGCTCTTTTTTTTTCTTTTTTTTTTTTAAGAAAAAAACCCGCCAGTGTTAGTGGTGCTGATAAGAGCAGAAATTTTTCGTTCGTTTTATTTTTTTCAAAGAAAGGCACATACAAGCCACGACCTCGAGCCAGCAACCTGCCACGAAGATCGACCATGGCTATGATGCAAACGTGCGCAGAGCGACCCAAGACTCTCGAAAGAAAGACAGTCGAGTCAACCCTTAACAGTCTTAAGACTCTTAACTGACCAATTAAGATCAAATCAAACCCACTAAATGAAAAAAAAAAATCGAAAGAAAGACACTCGAGTCAACCCTTAACTGACCAATTAAGATCAAATCAAACCCACTAAATGAAAAAAAAAATCGAAAGAAAGACACTCGAGTCAACACTTAACTGACCAATTAAGATCAAATCAAGTTCACTAAATGAAAGAATTTACTTGATCTACCAGTATGCTATCCGATTCACCTTGACACACACTATCAACTAGACTTGCCTAGTAGATCGGAACAGAAACAGAATCCAAAGCTCATCTCTTCTGGTCAGATAAGATCGGACGGGATCGGAGAAGATCAGACCAGACCAGACCAGACCAGACCAGACCAGACCAGACCAGACCAGATCCGATCAGACTATATCAAAGCAACTTACATCAGGTTGGATTGGATAAAACCAGGTCGGATCGAATCGGATTTGGAAGATCGGACTGAACCGGAGAAGACCAGACCAGACCAGACCAGACCAGACCAGATCCAATCAGACATATCAAGGCAGAATTTATCAGGTTGGATTGGATAAAATCAGATGTGGAACGGACAGGATCTGGAAGATCAGACGGGATCGTGAAAGATCATACCAGGCCAGACCAGATCCAATCAGACTATATCAAGGCAAATTACATCAGGTTGGACTGGATAAAAACCAGATGTGGAACGGACGGGATCTGTACGACCGGACGGGATGGGAGAAGATCAGACCAGACCAGACCGGACCAGATCCAATCAGACTATATCAAGGCAAATTACACCAGGTTCGATTGGATAAAAGCAGATAGGATCCCATCGGATCAGATCTGATAGGATGAAGTGAACTGGAAACGAAGACAAATCGAAACACTATCCAAATTGAATCAGGTCAGACCAGACTGGGTCAAATGAGATCAGATCAGATCAATCAGATCAGATCAGATCAGATCAGATCAGATCAGATAGAATGAAATAAGCTCGAAATAAATGAACTAATAAATTTAAAGACGATTAGAAAAGAATCGAAACCTGTTTAAAAAAAAAAAAAAAATCGAAACCTGTTTGAGCTGAGACGGAGTTCCGATTCAATGGAGCGGGCTCAAGTTCACAGGAATCTGATCCAAGTCAGGCCAATGGAAGTCGAGAAAACTGCATACAAGTCCTTGCCAGAATTTGCCAGCTCTGGTAGGGCCTCCTTAAGAATGTACCTCGCCATCCGACACATACAGGCAGACGACTTGAGGCACGTCCAGGTACATTCTGACCAATTTCCTGGTACATTCTGACCAATTTCCTGGTACGTTCTGACCAATTTCCTGGTACATCCTGACCAATTTCCTGGTACATTCTGCCCTACGTCCTGGTGCATTCTGACCCCGTATTCCGGCCATCACAACAAAAACGGCACCTAGATACGTGATTTTCCCCTCGAATTTCGATAGATAGCATTTCAATCAAGTCCTACCAGACCGAGAAAAGGCATCTGAGATAAGACTATGACGGATCGGGTTAGATTCAACAGAAAAAAAAAAAAAAAAAAAAAGATTCAACAGACCCAATCCCTTCACGTCGGATCCAATCCGATCGGACTCGGATCAGATCACGTTTCAGAGCACATTATCGAGGAACAGAGCGGATCGGATAGATCAGATCCTTCTTGGTTTTCCCGAAATGATGGGTGATACCTCACATCCCTTCCGTATGTGAGAGGCGGGCCTCCCCAAGACTTGTTACGACCAGTCGGCCGTCAAGAACTATTTGAAAGAAAAGGAAGATAAAGGAAGGGGGAAAAAAAAGGATCGGTTCAGATCGGATAGGATAGGATCATATCGAATCGGATCGGATAAGATAGGATCAGATCGAATCGGATCGGATGTGGATCTGATAGGAACTGGTTGGATCAGATTACTGGATCAGATAGCATCGGTTCCGATCGGATTGGATCAGATCGGATTGGATTAGCGTGGATTAGCTTGGATTAACTTGGATTCGCTTGGATCGGATTAAGACCTGATAGGATCGGATCGGATACAATAAGATGCTATCTACTTCCTGGATTCATGCATGTCCTGTACGTGCGAAGGGCACAGTAATCTAAGTTATTATCTAACCAAGCAATTTCATTGACAAATGAATAGAAAAATCCCTCGATCGATTCGCCGATCGCGATGTTACCTCATCGTTCTGAGTAATGATTATAAAGTACGATAGTCATAATTAACTACGCCTAATTGCGCAGATCGAATCCATAACAGGGAAATAAGATGGAGATATCATCACTTACTACAAACGCAACCCCATACATTGGGACGCGCGCACACACACACACACACACACACACACACACACACACACGCACACACACACATACACACACACACACACACATGCACATAAAGAGCTAAGACATGCGAATGCACCGAAAGAAAAAAGGGAGGGGGGAAGAAAAACCAACCGAGAAGGCGCAAAACTAACGCACGTGAAGATTCATCGCATGCATTCAGAGAGCGAGAGAATCTTACCGTACGGGGCATGGAGAGAGGAGGGGGAGAGAATGGAGAATGAGGGAGAGGGCAGGAGGAGCTGAGAGAGGAAGTTCAACTTGACGAAATCCCAATAATAATTGCGTCAGCAAGACAGAGGGGAGCGCACATCCATACACACATCATCTTCAAATCCAATCATCGTGAGGAAGTCGTATGAGGAACTGCAAGAGAGACGGGAGAGAAAATCACACCAGTCAGACGGTAATGAGACCTTCACAGAAGCAGACGGTCAGTGAGAGAGAGACCGAGAGAGGAAGGAGAAGAAATAGAAACAGAAACAGAAACAATGGGAGAGAGAGAGAGAGAGAGAGAGAGAGAGAGAGAGAGAGAGAGAGTCGTATGAGGAACTGCAAAAGAGACGGGAGAGAGAAAATCACACCAGTCAGAGGGTAATGAGGCCTTCACAGAAGCAGACGGTCAATGAGAGGGAGACCGAGAGAGGAAAGAGAAGAAACAGAAACAGAAACA